CCAAGCAACGTAATTGTTCCCCAACTATTCCACAGCCTTCCATATTAGAGGGTAGTAAGGGGTTCTGCCAGGATCTCATTGGCTGACTTACCATAACACCGGACTAATTTTCTCACAAGAGGAGCTGTGGGTCAAGACTCAGTGTTTTCTTTGGTCTGACATCTATGTTCATTTAAATCTCCTTGTGAGGAGGAGAAAACGGGCTAGACAAGTGCATTCGCTAGACAGTTGCCATCTTTCCTGGATTCAAGCTTGATTTTCAAGGAACAAAAATGATACATCAAAGAAGAATAAGATGGAAAAGAAGAGACACGTTTAAAAAGCGAGAGGCCAAGGCTTAGTGGGAAAGACAGTGACATGGTGGAGTAAAGATAGGAATACAAGCGATAGGATGTGGGGAGATACATCTCAAGGGGGATACAAGGAGAAAAGGTGCAGGGGGAAAGGATCCCCTTCCAGGGAAAAACCCTAGGGTTTCAGCCCTAAACTTTGAACAAAAACCAAAACAAAATGACACTGATACTGCAGTCATCAAGCGGTTTACTTCTCTAGTCATTGTCTTCTCTGTTGTTACTCCACTGTTCATGGGTCTTTCTTCACTGTCTCTCCTCTTAGTGAAAAATTATCCAACCTCAGGAAGGAAAGAGAAACCAGGTGCCAGTTGTGAAGAGTGGTGCTTGTCTCTTTTCGAAATATGGAAGCAAAGCAGAGACTGGATGGGCTCCCCAAGCAACACAAGCAAGGAATGCTGCTCCTGCCCACACGCCTGAGGTCTCGGCAGGTGCTGCCTGATGGAACCCCCCCCGACTTGTTTTTCCTGGTGGGCTAGAGCTCTCTGGGTCCCACAGATTGAGGCAGCTCTGCCTGGTCCTCTCTGTGCCTAAACAAAGAGGAATCAGATGGACACTTCACTCTCCTGCAACCCACAAGCTTTCATTTTGCTGGGTTGCCATAAGGTAGGAGATCCTAAAGATATGTCTTGCCTGCTGAGGAAATACAAAACTACGAAAATATACGGGGGAAACTCACAAAGGGGATGGAGGAAGACCACGGTAGATACTTAGAATGGCTGGCAACCAATGAAGTAGAAATACAAGAACAGTCAGAAGAGAACTTTAACAAAAACGTCAGTGCATGTTCTCAAGAGGATCAGCTCAGCACACAAATAGAGTCATCTAGAGCACAATGTGTGGTTTTATTAACTTGATATGATCAGTGCAAAATTCATATAATGAAACAGAGGTCATGGACAGGACCAGATAAGCATGAAAGAGAGGGGTGTCTTAATAAATATTATAATTGCTACAAAGTCATTAGAATAGAAAGTGTATAGTATTATTCCAGGAATAGACAAACAAATTACTAGAACGTGGAGCCCAGAAATAAATTTGAGGAATTAGATGAGAAACTTCAGGGAGAGGTGGCTTACTTAATAAATCATGCTGGCATACTTGGCTATCCATCTGGGGTGAAAAAAAATCTCTACCTCACACCATGTATAAAAGTAAGTTTCAGGTGTATTAAAATGCACTAAATAGATATACGAAATGCATTAGGAACATTAAAAGAAAATTAAAGAATAAATTTTTAACCTTGATGTGGAGCACGCCTGATGGACCACCTGGGCCCTTCTCCCTCCCACGCAAAGGAAATACAGGCATATGATTAAGTTTTTAATAATGGCAGACATCAATACAAGCAAAGTCAAAGGACAAATGGCAGACTGGAAAAAGTATCTGTAGCACAACAAACAGAAGAAAGTTTAATATCCCTGATATACAGAGAATTTACACAAACTGATACTAAAAAACAATAGAAATATTGGTCCAATTGCCAATACCAATAGGCAATTTGCCAAACTGGGAATGTTCAATAAACACATGAAAATATACTCATCACTACTAATATTCAGAGAAATTAAAATGACAATAACAAAGAGAGAGCTTTTTTCCCTCACCAGACTCGCAGAAACTGAGAAGAGGAACGACATATTTTACAGGGAAAGATGAGGAGAAATGTGCAATTTTGCATATTGATGGCAGGAATGTGAACTGCAGGTTCCTTTTCAGAGAAGAACATTGTCAATGCCTATTAAAATTTAAAATGCACACGTAGTCTTTGACCTACAAATATCACCTTTAGGAATCTATCCTAAAGGGAAAAAAATTACCAGTGCGTAAGAATACACATACAAGGATGCTGACTGTATCATTTTTGATGGCAAAACAACACAAAACAGTGTAGTTCACACATCCATCACTAGAAAAATAGCTAAATAAATCATGGCATATATATCTCTACTATGGAGTATTACATACCTTATTAAAAAGATTAAGTTGGAGCTATAGCTACTAACCTGGAGAGATGTCCAGGGCGTATTGTTAATTGAGAAAAGCAAATGGTAGATTAATATAAGCAACATGACTGTTTTGTAAACACACACACACAGACAAGTAACAAGAAAAATGCTATATATGACAGTGTGCTTGTATGATTACAAAGAAAGGCGTGGAAGGCTGTATAACAGCTTCTAACACTAGCTTCCTTGTCCTTATGACTTTTATGGCCACCTGGCACATGACAGAGTGCATTGTTCACAACAAGTCTTCATAAACGTTGTGGAGGGAAACTGGTCCCTTCTTTGCAAACAGAGGGATTGGTTGCTGGGCAGGAAGAGAGAGATTATTGGTGTTTTTCTTGATATATTTTCACTGGTCATGGTGAACAAGTAATACTTTTGTGATCTTGGAAGAGAAATTTGATACGCTTTTTGGTAAAACCAGCAAATGTAGGAAGCTCCCCAAGAACAAATGGAGCTATCAACTTTTATTCTGATGTATTCAGATGCTCACATTCAGCATCGCCTCTTAACACCACCCTCCTGTGTCTACCGAAGAAGTTTAAAAGTTTGTTTATAAGAAACAAAATTCGTAACTGAAGTACATAAATCCATGGTAAATGGGTAGAGAATAGCAGAGGAAAAGCGAAATCTGCAGGAGAGAAGAGTTATACTTCACAAAGAACACCAGCTGGATATTCGCCGTTTTCACAGGAGTTTAAATGACATACTGGCTTTACTCACGAAGAATCTCGGATCCAAAGTATTGGAAGTACCTTACTTTGTCTGGTTCCATGGTACTGCAGGCTGAGAGATAATGAATTGTTTAAAGATTTTTCAATGTTTCTAATTCCAGAGAGAAATTCTATCTGACTCTGAATGTCACCTGAATGTAAGGTCAAAGCCACCTGCACAGGGTGATTGCAGAAGGATAAGCCAATGGCAAAGCTAACCAGACAAGAGAGAGCCACAAAGAACAGAGATGTCTGCACACAAAGTGGCTGCTCTCCTTTAAAACTGTGCAGGATTAAGACAACAGGTACCCCTAAACAACAACAAAGCACACAACCCAATTAAAAAATGGGCAAAGGATCTGAACAGACATTTTTCCAAAGAAGATATACAGATGGCTGCCAGACACACGAAAAGATGTTCAACATCACTAATCATTAGGGAAATGCAAATCAAAACCACAATGAAACATCTCCTCACCCTTGTCACGACAAGAAATAAGTGTTGGAGAGGGTGTGGAGAAAGGGGAACCCTCATACACTGCTGGTGGGAGTGTAAATTGGTGCAGCCACTATGGAAAACAGTATGGAGATTCCTCAAAAAATTAAGAATAGAACTACCATATGATCCAGCAATTCCACTTCTGGATATTTACCCAAAGAACACAAAAACACTAATTTGAAAAGATATTTGAACCCCTATGTTCACTGCAGCATTGTTCACAATAGCCAAGACTTGGAAACAACCTAAATGCCCATCAATGGATGAATGGATAAAGAAGATGTGGTATATGTACACAATAGAATACTACTCAGCCATAAAAAAGATGAAGTCTTGCCATTTGTGACAATATGGATGGATCTTGAGGGTATTATGCTAAGTGAAATAAGTCAGATGGAGAAAGTTAGATACCATATGATTTCACTTATAAGTGTAAGATCAAAACAACAACAACAACAAACAAATACATAGATACAGAGATTAGATTGGTAGTTATTAGAGGGAAAGTGGGGAGGGAGGAGGGCAAAGACTATAGGGCACATATGTATGGTGATGGATGGTTATTAGTCTTTGGATGGTGAACATAATGTGATCTACACAGAAACTGAAATATAATGATGTACACCTGAAATTTATATAATGTTATAAGCCAATGTTACCTCAATAAAAATTTTTTAAAAAGACAACAGGTACCCAGAATAGTTTCAGAAACATGATTATTTTTGTTCCTTGGATCGAAACCAAAACTGACATATCTGCCTGTATACAGATGTACACATACACAGAGTATCGTGAGTGGCGTATCACTAATTGAGCCCTGTAAAACATCTGTGGGAAAAGTAGATGGTAAATATTTGAGACAGAACAGTACAGGGTATCTGTCATTCCCAAGCGCAGAGGCACATTCTTAGAACGAGGCGCTCCTCTCTTAAAAAGTGGGCAGTTCTCTTTTCTGTGGCTATCTCATTGACCAGCATTTCAACGTCATAGATAAGTGTCTCCCAGAAAACAAAAGACTGATAAATGACTCAGGAAATATTACAAGGCAAACAAGAAGATAATTAAATATCAACAGGGAGTGAAAGCTCATCTCTTGTCTAAATTCTCAATTGTTTTGTGTGGCCTAGAATCTATTATTTGGGACTCAGATGACTTCTAAAAGCTTCATGCAGAAACCAAGGTCATTTCCCTTTGCCCACCATGGAGGACACCAAGAATGACCCACCGCTGCCCCTTGTCGAGGTCACGGTCAAAGCCCCAACTCTCGGGGCTCATCCTGGGCTCTTTGGAGATGCCAGGATGCAAGCCTGGGGCAGTTAGTTCAAACAGAGGATCACGATTAGGGTTTTAACAGAATCCTAGTGAGCAAAAAGAACTCCCTTACGGCGCCCCCATCAGTCCCAGTAGAGAGGAGCAAAGAGGAGGGTACCCTGCAAATCTCCACTCTGTTGGCAGCCTCCTCCATTTCTTCCCTGAGGGCATCAGCTTTGGCACCCGCAGGCTGTAAACTGCTGGACAAACCTGAAGACTTGGAAGTCTGCTGCCACCTGATGGAAAACAGGAGAAAAAGAAGAGAGGCGTGAGGCAGGTAGAGCCAGGGGATATGGTGGGAACACTGAGAAAAGAGCTGGTTACAAATATTACCCAGGAAACGACAGCCCCTCGCTCAAAAGCAGAGGGAATGAACAGATACTGAGTACCAGACCAGGAGAAGGGGGCTCGAATTTCCAGCCGGCAGTAGTCAGTGCTGGCGCTGAGGACTGGAAACTCCTTCAGGCACAGCAAGCATTCCCCAGTTTGCCACCATTTTCCCCACTGTCCTCTGAACACTAAGGCCAATGACATCACCATTGCTTTCTCTGAAGCTCAGTCTACGTCATTCCTTTAAATTCCCTGCCTATCCTGTGGGCACTTGAGTTTGGAGACATTCACCGACTTGGCTGCCGCCAATCACGTATGCTAGGTGAGAGGACATGTGGGTAAGAGTGAAAACAAACTGAAAATCAAAATCTCCACTGGTAACCACAAAACAGTGTCCCATCAACACTGAGAAGCCTCATTTATATTTTCTTAAACATTTCTCTTTGGGCAGAGAATACCGGCCTTCCAAGGAAGCCGCTTGGGAACTTTTATGGGGAATTTGTACAAATGCTTCTTGTTGATATGTCATACTCAGGGAATTACCAAGAGCAAGCCCTGAAAGAAGGTTCCAATTACAATAGATGGTGGTAGCTATGGTTCCTCTTCCTACTGAGTCTGTAAACTCAATAGCTTACAGGGCCCAGCAAGTAAGAAAAATAAGTCAAATGGGTCATTATCTTAAAAACTAGTCCACTCAATTTTTTTACTTCCTATTTGTCATAGGGATATGAGATATAAAACTATTTCTCAGCTCTAAGGAAAAGCAACAGTGTAATCAGGATGAGAACGGTCTTGGGAAGTCAGGAAAGACAGCGAGAGGATGGGGACCTGGGTGGGGGGTGCTGCCCTGTCTAGAGGCAGCGGCTGCTCTTCAGCTGGGGCCAATGGGACCGAAGCAGGAGCGTGGGTCATGGGATGCCAGACGTTTCAATTGGCAAGCGGAAACTGTCATGTGAACTCTTCTGATGAAATGTGGCAACAGACTAAATAGTCTCTTAAATAGCATGCGGGCCAATAGCATAGAGACCAAACCAGACTGCTCTGAGGGCTCAATCTGGCTTTTTGACCATGCAAAGTAGAGGCAAAAAGTGCAATGTCACCTTCACTTTGAGAGGCAAGAAACTAATGACTAGGTGTCTTCTCTACACAATTTTTCTCTTCTCTTTTGTTATATGCAGGCAACCCAGAAGAGTGTGAGGCTCTATAAGAAAGGGCAACTAAAATTCTCTTTGCTATTAGCAAAAAGTAGCCAAATACAGGATTCCCTGTCACTTAAAAAGTGCACCCAGGGGAAAACTACTTTAAAAGCGGGCTTGAAGTTCCACAGATGGGGACACATCCTGGGGAAGATTCCTGATGCCAAGATAAGAAATCAGGGCAAATTAGAAGAAAATATTCTACACAAAAATGTTTAAAAATCTAAACTAACAGCTAAAGATTAGTAAGAATTCCTGGGCAATTCTTCCTTATAGCCCTTCAGAAATGATATATTTAATTAATACCTCCCAGGTTTAACCATTTTAAACAAAGTATTAAAGTGTTGTGGGGGTTTTTTGTCAAATAAAATATGAGATGCCACGGCTGTAATTTAGATCTCAGATAATGACTATACCTCCATGCTGGATTATGGGATCAAGCTACACCCACCATCTGGCTCTTGCTACCCAAAGAAAAAACAAGTAACCAACATGTAAGTGTAAAAATAAAGAAATAAAGGGAATGTAAACACTAAGCTGATTTTTACAGCTTTGAAGATCTAGATTAGATTCTTTTTAAAAAACCCAATTTAGACTTAACATATATATAAAAATGGAGACTTATTTCCCCAAGTTACCTCTTTATTCTCTTCCTAATCCTTTCTATTTTTTCCCCCAATTCTGTCCCTTAGTCAATATCCTAGTAGTTTAAAAACATACACCTTTCCCTCCCTTTATAGGGAATTTTATTTGCAATATATAAGTAATCTATTTTGATATTATAAAATAGTGATGAGATACAGAATAAGATTGTGGATATCAAATAACAAAATAGCAAGGAAAACGTGGAAAAATTTGTATTGATAATATTCTGTTGAAAAAAGAGACACTAATCATGAATTTTGAGGTGGGGGGGGGGGTCTCCTCAGCTAGCTGTTTTACAAGTAAACTCAAGAACTGCGTGGGGCCGGCTCCGTGGCCGAGTGGTTAAGTTCGCACGCTCCACTGCAGCGGCCCAGGGTTCGGATCCTAGGCGCGGACATGGCACCGCTCGTCAGGCCACGTTGAGGCGGTGTCCCACATCCCACAACTAGAAAGGACCTGCAACTAAGATATATAACTATGTACCCGGGGCGGGGGTGGGGTTGGGAAATAAAGCAGGAAAAAAAAAAAAAAAGATTGTCAGTTGTTAGCCCAGGTTCCAATCCTTAAAAAAAAAAAAAAAAAGGAAGATTGGCAACAGTTGTTAGCCTAGGTGCCAATCTTTAAAAAAAAAACAACGAACTGCCCTGCTCTATTAGACGAAGAAACAGGGACTCTTGTCCAAGAAAAGTTTGAGCTTTGAAAGTGAAGAGCAGAAAGTACACTTCTTCCCACTAAAGTGGCTGACATGTCACCATCATTCTCTGGAAAAGATGCTACCATTCTGTGACCTGGGGGAGATGAACACAGAATACTAAGTTTAATGAAGGCTGGAGGAGAGCAAAGGGCCAGAAATAAGGGAATGCAATTTCAGGGACCAGGAGAAGGGTCGAGAAGGCAAATGCAAGATCAGCTCAGGGCAAAAGGAAGTCCAGAAGAATTTTTGGAAGGCAAACAGGCAAGTTCCTTTAGTGAGACATTTGTGATTTCATCTGTTCAGTTTTCTCCTTCCCTCTGCCATTGGCATCCTCTGCTGTTTGGGGTCCTGCTCCACTCCCACTCTAAAGTGCGGGCCAAAAGGAGCTGCCAGTTTTGCATGGCCCTGGCAGTGAGTGGTCAAGGTAAGGGTCCACAATGTAAGCCAAGCCCGTGCCTGCCCTTCATTACCTTGGCCAATGGACAGGCCAAGGAAGTGGGCACATAAGCAAAGTCCAGGCAAATGGAGCTCCTCCTTTGTACTTTCAGAATTGGAACAAAAGGAAGAGGGCTCATACCAGGGAGACACGAGCCCAAAGGATATCCAGTAACTGTGAGGACAGTGGATTGAAGAAAAAGATGCCTGTAGGCAGGAGATGAGGAACAGCTCCTGATGGCACTGACTCTGCTGCCAGTCCCAGAGGTCCTCAGAACTGCCACAGCTCCAGAGTTCCACTTCTAGTTATCCACTTCTTCCTTAACTCCGTGAGCTGCCCAGCATCCTTCCCCAAAACTCTCCTGTTTTACTTATATTCATTCACTTGCTTGCAAACAAGGTAGGTGTCTTGGTCTGCTCAGGCTGCCATAACAAATACCATAGCCTGGGGGGTTTCAACAACAGAAATTTACTTTCTCATAGTTCTGGAGGCTAGAAAGTCTAAGATCAAGGCTCCAGTAGGGTTTGAGCTCTGGTGAGTTCTCTCCTCCTGGCTTTCAGATGGCCACCATCTCGCTCTGTCCTCACAGGGCCTTTCCTCAGAGTGTATGCAGCGGGAAAGAGACTCCTCTCTCTTTCTCTTCCTATAAGGCCACCAAGCCTATTAAATTAGGGTCCTACCCTTATGACCTGATTTAACCTTAATTACTTCCTAAAGGCCCTAGCTCCAAATCTAGTCACATTGGGGGAGAGTAGGGGCTTCAACAATGAATCCAGTGGGGGAGGGGAGAGGGCACAATTCAGTCCATAGCAGTAGGACCCAGAGGCAGCTATTATTCAGCAGAAACATAACGTATCCTGGACCCAGAAGGGTTGACTTTAAGATACATGCCCAAAAACAAGTTAGGCAGACTTTGGGAAGGTATGGAGTTCCTTCTTTAACCGCTGCCAAAGCAAACCTGTGAAAGAAAAGATGTTTGTGTATCATTCACATCCAATTCAATTCAACTCATAATCTTTAGTTCAGTGTAAAGTTTCCTTGAGTTTACCTCCATTCTTCTCATCTGTAATCTTTTATTCATCTTCTAAGCTTTAGTCTTCTCTGAGGTTATTAAGGTTTATATAATTGGCTTTTGAAGCAGACAAGCCAGATTTACTTGAATAGTGACCAATGTACACACTGGAGTTAGACCTAATGAAATGCTGGATAGATTTGTTGGATTTGACAGTATCTGCCAGAGTTGTGGTAGAATTCAAAGATCCAGTCATGGAACTGTGGATCAAGATGTGCTGACAATATATAAAAACATCCTGCCTTTCTTAAAAGGCAGAGTATGTCTCCACCTGGAGTACACTGCTTACTCTGGATAGTGTAGTTCATGAAAGACAAAAGAGGACTAAAGAAAGCTTTGGTGATCAGACGGAAGACAGAACCTCACATGTAGAAACTGACTAAATGGAGAAGTAGTGTGAGGTAGAGGTGGGGGGCAGTGAGAACCCAGCTCTTCTAGAAGAGTAGCTGGTGATCCTTGCTATTCGCTAGCACAGCATTTGGTCTTACTCTCATGGCTGTATCTTGGGATGCAGTCCTCGTGTTGACCAAGAGTGAAGGGTTAGGGGAAAAGGCAGAGCATTGGGGTGGGCTGGCTTCTTCTTGTGGCTTTCAGTAAGGTCCTACAAGACAGACAAACATAGACTAGAAATGGCTAGTCTGAGATTAAAGTGGGAAGAAAGAGGACAGCTTTGCTAAGAGAGCTCCTCTCATCCTGAAGCCTATATCCTAAACTGATGAGGATTCCTTAACTGAGGCTGTGGGTTAGATCCTCTCCCATGGTCACTAGAGCAGGGACCTGAAGGGAAGTCAACCGCACTTCTGAGGAGATGTACTGCCAACAATCCCTCCAAAGCAACCCTCAACTCCCAAACTCACGACTAATAGAGTGGGCTGTGACAAACCACAGTATGACCCAGGAGAAGGGTCAGGTTTATACGAGGATCATCTAAAAGGATTTTTTTTTGTCTGAAATAACAAAGGTTGCAAAGTGTCTAAGATGAAGTTTATAAGCATAAAAATTTGGGTAGGGAAGTAGATATCTCCTTACCAAATCCAATATAGAAGAGAAGACCCCAATACACAAGCTGACAATATGAAAAAGTTTGTTAAAACATGGATGAGAGGTCCCTCATGACACTTCTCTAAGGTTTCAGAATCTACACACCACTTGGTTTCACCATTAAAAACATCACACAAGACTGGGTTGATCGTGGCTGTCACCCAGGAGTAACTCTCCCTCTCATAAGAAGACTAAACAAAAATATGTAAGTGCAGATGGTAATGATAAGCTTTGACGCTAGCATATGGCCCTCTGAACAGAAGCTCTGAGCTGAAAATTCAGGTTTTCCTTACAGAAGCAGAGAAAAGACCTCTGAGCTAAGCACTCAGGTCCTCAGAGAAGGAAATCACTCTGCAAACCCAGGAGCATGGTGTCCACCATCATCCTAAAAGTGGGACAGTTAGCATTTCTTCAATCATCTTACATGACTCCCCCAGCAAGGGACTTGAACACTGGCGTTGTGGGAGGCAATTTTCTGTGGTACAAGGACGCAGTACTAAGTAACACCAAATCAATACTCCACATGCAATCTGTGCTCTCCATCCCTCCAAGCACACTAAGGAGAGAGCCCCAGATCTGGGCCAGAAGAACAACTGTGCAGCATCTCCTCCCCTTCCTTCGTAACAAAAGGAGACAAGCTTCAGGACCCCAGCCTTCCGCAGGCAAGAAGGTCTAAAATTGATTAACATTGGCTTTGCTTTCATCCTGTTCACATCCATGTTTACCTGATATTTGTTGCAAAGGGCATTGTTTTTCAATTTATGTGAGTGCTCTAAAGTTTCTTTTTAAATAGATTCATTTTGCAAAAGAGAGCCAACCTTTTACAAGATTTGCAGGCACAGATGGCAAAAATCATTCAGGTGGACTGAAGTTTGGGGAACATGAAGTTAACTAAAGAAACTTGTGTTTCTCTGCTGATCTAACTGTTTTATTTCTGGTCTTGGGAAACGCCCTATACTTTTCCTTGGTCCAGACGCAGAATTCCAGTGTCCCAACTACGTACAGTAGCAGCTTCCTTTTACATGATCTCACGTGACACTCAAAACAGCCTCCTCAGGTCAACTCACAAATGTGGTTACTACCTGTGTCCAGGTGAGGAAATTACTACTCTGGGAGGCTAAGGGACTTGACCAAGGTCACAGGTCTAGGAAATGGGTGATGGAGCTCTTGGTACTTCGTCTCTGATTCCTGGGACAGGACGCTTTATCCTACATCTCTCAGCCCAAGGATATTCTGCTTTCTTTCCATTTATTTTTCTCAAGAAATTAAAACAAGATGTAGAGATTATTAAAATCGACCTACAACAGACCTAAAGTAGAAGCGAAATGTTCCTTTCATATTAATATTCAGGAGACTGCATTCTTCGAACTTGCAGACTTACACAACACACACACACACACCACTGTAGAAAATAAAAAGGCATATGTGCACAACCATGACATTTGACAGCCACAGCCACAGTCAAGGCCACCTCAGGGCCTCTGGCATACCCTGCTGTCACAGGAATTTTCTGTTGTCTTCCAGGAGATGGGTGCAGGAGAAGAGCGGCCCTGTGGGAACTTTACTTCTCTCATAATGGTCTCAGGTTTAGAGAATGACTACAGAAAGGAGATGTCTACACCACTGGCTTCAGGAGAAGGTGAACGGGTCCCCAGGATCTGAAACTCTCCCCTCATGATAGACACGACATATCATCCATCCTGCCTGCTTGGTCTCTGCTCTCCTACCTGCTTTGTCCCCTCCACCCCAGACACGCTAGTCTTCACTCTGTACCTTGGGTATGTCAACCTTATTCCCACCACAGGGGCTTTGTATGTGCTGTTCCTGCTGCCATGGACAGTTCTGCAGCAGCTCTTTGCCTGGTACCTCCTTTTCATCGTTTATGTCTCAGATCAAGTGTCATCGCAAAAACGCCTTCTCTGTGGTCCTCTACCTTGTGCTGTTGCCCCTTTCCTCATCGCTCCCTGCCACAATTGCCCTGTGCTATTTTCTTTACATGACAATGGCCACTTGAAACCATCTTGTGTGTCTGTTCACCCGCTTCGTGTCTACCTCCCAAACCAGACTGCAGCCTCCTCAAGAGCAAGACCCCATATCTCCAGCCCTCTACTCTCACCTCCAGCGCCTGGCACACAGCAGGCGTTAAAGACTAGATGAGTGAAAACACTTACACACACCCACGTACAAACCCTGCCCCCAAATATGATCACCAGTCCTTCAAAGAAGCAAAAAGGAGAGCAAAGAAACCCTACATACCTCGTTCGTGAAGAATCCATGTCCAGCACCAACTTTGCTAAATGTTTCCTCTGTTTTTGAATATTTGGGATTTCCACCTGTGGTTACAGGAGATAAAAGGCACAAACGGAAGCTCAAGATAAAGTCTTAAACAACTATTGACAGCCACCCAACAAGTTTGCTAGAGGTCTCCCAACCCTTTTCAGATGAAATTCTTGATTCCTTTTCCTGAGCTCAAGTCTGCTCTTTCTTTGCTGGCCGTCTGCCAGGGCCTCCATCAACCCAGACTGTCTCAGAGGCTCTCGCATCTCCCTGCTCACTCAGGCCTATTCTCATTGCTGCTCTTACCTCAACCAGCAAAAACAGGCTCAATCACTTCTCTCTACCGCGTAAGGGCCAAAGGCGGGGAGGAACGCAGTCAGATCTGACACACAGACCCAACTCAAAACAGACAGCAGAAGGATGAAAAGACCACCAGTCTCAGGAGACCTGAGGCTGTGGGGAATGTAATTAGGATCTATTTCTGTAGAAGTAAAGTAAGACTTTTTCCAAAGTAAATAATGAATAACCATCACCATGGCTTCTCTCAGCTGTGAGTTCTTCCATAGTGGTTGTATGTGGACACTCTTTTTATATTTTTATTTCTAAAAATGACTTAACTGAACATTCCAGTGCAGGATTTTGGTCCCAGGCCCAGCAAAAGTGGGGCAGGATGTGAGAATTTAAAAGGGAAATTGGCTGTAAACTGAATCAAAATCATCTCGGGCCGTGGCTTTTATATAAAGCAAAAATGTGAAGAAGATCCAGTGTTCCATGAAGTGCTTTCCATTCACTCTCAGGAGCAGCGTGAGTAATGTCCTGAGTGTAACCACTTCCAGTGGGAAGGAGAAGGTAACAGACTCCAGGCACCTGGCGCCATCACAGAGCCTAGAGGCAAAGCTGCAGAGTCACGCGGGCATCTTATTCGTACAAGCGACTCTCAGCACCCAGCTCAGCCCTGACCCTCGGGTTTGCTTTCAGCTTTGGCGGGGACCCCAGACCACCCTTAGGAAAAGCAGAGGGCCTCTCATGAATGTTCTAGGCTGAGGGATGACCTGTAAGAGGATGGATCTGAGAAGTCTAGAGCTGGTCTACATCAAAACACCATATCTAGGATTTTCTCCTTGAATACTTTTAGGCACTTAGGTAATTATTTATGCATACATCTGTCCCAGAAATAGCACCAGGGGATGTGGAGGTGCTGGGGGCGGTCCAGAAAGGAAACCAAGCATGGCCTCGGGAAATGCTGTCTGATGGTAGCCTGGAGCCACCTGTGGCTATGTCATTTTAAATTCAAATGAACAAAAATTAAACAAAATTAAAAATTTAGTTCCTTAGACACAGTAACCACATTTCAAGAGCTCAATAGCCACAGGTGGCTAGTGGCTGCCAAACTGTGCAGAGGTCAAACGTTTCCATCATTGCGGGCAGTTCTAAGGGACGGTGCTGATTAGGCTTTTGTCTTTGCTTTTTCCCCCACACCTGCTGTCTTTAGCAGCACCAGTTAGGTTTTGTATGGCAACTGAAGGCAACTAGGAGGAGGTTCAGGGAAAATAAAGTCCCCCAACCATTTCTCTTCCTATTGATAATAGTTCACTTGGTTGAAGCTAGCAAAATCGTCACACAGGCATCAAGATTCCTTTTTAATGAAACAGTTTTATTTAGCGTCCTTTATAGTCCAAAGAGAATCGAATTATATAAACTGCAAGAGGCCTTACAGAGTCTCTTGGACATGGGTCCCCAGTCCCTCGTGAGGAGGGGCAGCTGTTCATTTCATTGAAGATGAGACGAGTGGAGGGGCAGGGGTGGCAAGAGCTGTGGAGACTGGTGGGGAAGGAGTAATGCTGCCAGCTTTGCATGTTTACCCGCTGGAATGTCAACAGAGAAGAGCGTGGTGGGAGAAGCGGGTGGCAAACAGCTGAAAGGGCTGCCATATTGGGGAATCTTGACTATGTGGTTGGGTGGTAATAATCCCCGATGAAAAACAGTGTCAGGGAGTGGGTGAGGGACAGAAACAACAACGAGGCTGGAAGCAGATGGACTAAAGGGCCCACTGTGCTGTCCTTCCCTGCTCACTTAGGCCTAGCCTCATGCCTGCTTCCTACCTCAGCCAGCAGAAACAGGGGCTCAATCACATCTCTCTCCACCTGCAATTCAAAATGAATCAGCTCCTGAGCCAGCTTGTCCTCTGTTTCTCCGCAGAGTTTCAGCATCTTCCTGCAACCGAAGGGGAAGAAAACATACTGAATACCCTAGAAAGCAAGATGTCACCGCATCATACTGTCATCACCTCCGGCTGGGTAAACTTTCATGAGACAGTGTTAATAAATTGGTTGATTTCCATGGCGTCCCATTGACCAACGTGCTCCACCCGCTTGCATTTCTGAAGTCATCAGTTTGTTAAATGATGCTGAGTACCTACTGTGTGCTTGCGGTAAAAAGGGACACGTAGGGAAACATGAGAGAGAGAGGGAGAGGACAGACTCAAGCATGCTAAATCCATAGACCTAAAAAGAGCCAGTGTTTCTATCTCCCCTGAGAGCACCAGAGAACCCAGCTAAAATCGATGCATGAACAAACTAACATCTTCAAACACACACCAAAACTCAACTTTACTACGCTCTAACAGAAAGAAAACTCTTTCTCCTAAGCTATGAAAAGTTATTTAACACAGGATGTAGACAATTATCCACTGAAAAACCGAAACAGAAAAACCATTCCAAAAGTTTACTAATAATGGGCAAACAAAAGACCTGAATGAGTAGAAAGTTATGCCATATTCCTAGGTGAGAGATCACAACATTTCAAAGATGTTAATTCCTCTGAATGGTATACAAGCAGTTCTCCCTTGCATGGTACCACGTTAACTGAAACTCACATAAAGAGTGTTTTCAAATCAATAAAAGTATGGGAAGAGGTAATTGTTATTCTAAGTTAGTACGTACATTTCCTGTCCCTATTTTTACACTTTTACCACATATGTATGTGTTCACATACAATATATAATCCTGCTCCTTCACTCAGTTAAAAAAGGTTACACCAATGGTTTCGCCCTGAACCTATCCTGCTATTATTTGTGATTTATTTATTATTTCTTTTTTAAAGATTGGTACCTGTGCTAACATCTGTTGCCAATCTTTTTTTTTTCGTCTTCTTCTCCCACAAAGTCGCTGGTACATAGTTGTCTATTCTAGTTGTGAGTGCCTCTGGCTGTGCTATATGGGACGCTGCCTCAACATGACCTGATGAGCAGTGCCATGTCCATGCCCAAGATCCAAACCACCAAAATCCTGGGCCACCGAAGCAGAGTGCGTGAACTTAACCACTCCGCCACGGGACTGGCCCCTATTATTCGCTTTTTAGATTCATCATTATCTCTGGGGCTTATCCATCTTGACACATGCCGAATTAGATCATTTTGCAGTACAGAATTCCATTCTATGGATATATCACCATTTATTAAGCCTTTCCGTACCAGCAATTTTTGGCTAGCAGTGCTGCAGTACATATGCTGTCTCTTTCTGCAGGTGTGAAAATTCTTCTATGCAAAGAAGAGAAGATATGCATACCCTTAACCTTACAAGATATTGCCAAATTGCTCTCCAGAGTGACAGTACTGACTTCACTCTCAAATGAGAGTTCCCACTGCTCTACACTCTTGCCAACTCACAGTACTGGTAAGGCATTTTAATTTCTGCCACACTGGTGGATTCAAAATATCTGATTCTGGCTTTAATTTGCATTCCTTGACTACCGGTGAGACTGAGTATCTTTTCACGTTTTGGACGATCCAGCATCCCTCTTCCATGAAGTGCCTATTCATAGTCTTTGGCTATTTTTGTATCAGGACCTATTTATTGGAATTTATTGATAGAGTTCTTTATATACTTACAGACATGCATGTGGATATAGAATGATTCCAATTCTTTTTCATATTTGCTGCAAATGCCAAATCCCAGGTTGTGCGTTCATCTTTGTACCTTTTTAATGGTGTCTTTTATCTGATTCTTCTAACTCCATATTTCTACTGCTACTTCTTTTTAAAATTTTTAGCATTCACTATTGACTCTCAACTACAGAAAATGAGAATTTAGCTATATTTACATTCCCCCCCTCTATTTATTTGTATCAGTAGATAGTCTTTACACTATATTTTGACTCCATATGCTATTCGGAGTTAAGCTGGGTAGTGTATTATGATCACTGGTCTTTCCTGCACACTTAGTTGTTCTCTCTGGAGTTAATAACTGCCTTGTCTTGGTTTGCTTTAGTTTTCTGTGTACCTGATTGAACCCAAAATCCTCTGCCACTTTTCTAGTTTGCCTCTTAAGATACTGAACCACACTTGACATGAACGAATTTCATCTTCTTGAACTAGTCTCTCCCAGACCCATGTCAATCAAGATTGAGTTTTCCTTCTATCCCTAGGCACAGCTGTCTTCCTGCGATCTTCCTCCACCATTTCCTGGGATTCTCTCTCTCCTTCTCTGTCCTGGGTTGAACATGCTGTTTCCTATATCCTGTTTCCTATATTCCTATTCCTTTCTTTCTTGGTCGCTCCTCCACCATGGAACACCTCATGCTTTAGCTTTCTGAGAAGAGTGTGAGGGGAGTCCACTTCTGAGACCTTGCATGTCACAACATTCTCCTCCCCCCTCACATTGATTGATAGCGAGGCAGGATACTAAATTCCATGCTTCATATTCCTTCAGAATTTTGAAGGCATTGTTCAATAATCTGCTAGCTTCCATTATTGCTTTTGGCAAGTCTGGAAGCATTCAGATTTCTTACCCTTTGTAAGTGACCATTTTTTTCTCCGGAAGGTTGTAGAATCTTTTGTCACTAGTACTCATTGGCGGTGAGCCCACGCACAGGGTTAAATTTTTCTATTGCATTAGGAGCTCACTGGGCCCTTTCAATATAGAAACTTATGTCCTTCAGTTCTGGAAAACTCTTTTGGATTATTTTTTTCATTATGATTAGGATTATGATTTCTTCCTCTCCATTTCTCAGAACTCCTGTTATATAGGCCTAAGACTTCCAGGATTGGTCCTCTAATTTTCTAACATCTATTTTCTACATTTTTGTCTTTTTGCTCTCTTTTCTGGATGATTTCTTCAACTTTATCTTCGAAACCTTCTACTGAGAATGTCCTGTTCTTCATTTCTATGAGCTTGTTTCTGATCTATGAATATTTCTCTCCTGTAAGTATTTTTTAATTAACATCCTGTTCTTTTATTTCATAGATGCATTATCTTCTCTTATCACTTGAAAATTTAAGTGATAGTTTTCCTGAAATCTTTTCCACACAATATCAATTTCTTCCTGATTGTTTTGGTGTCTAGGCTTCAGGTTAGAGACTTTCCTCCAACGTCTGGTGACCTGTCTATCTTCAAGAATGGAGACTACAAAGCTCAGAGTATGTGAGTGAAGCTCGTCAGCTGTGAGCTGGTCTGCAGGATGATCTAGCTGGGCCATTCACTAGAGCACTGCCCCCTCCAATGTCCTGGAATGTTTAGTTCATTCCCATTGGGCTGGTCAGATTCTCCAAAGAACGTTCTTCTAACTTCCTGCCTAGAGGGTAAAGGCCTGGGAGCCGCATGAGTAGGGGAAGAGTCTCAGCATCTGGTATGCATTAGATCATTTAATTCTCTTCTGTAATGACTAGGACCCTTACATTCCACGGTGCCTGGTGTCCCCAGTCTAGGGATGTTCTGTTCTGCCTTCTCTGGAGCATCAAGGTCCAGACTTCTCTTAGGGTTGGAGGCAAGGGACAAGAGTCTCCCAGAGGTATGGATAAGGGCTGGGTCTGAGTGGTCTAAATGGCACCTGACTAGCTTTCAACCCACATTCTTGATTTTAATCACCACGCCACCCCCAAAGACCCACTATTCCAGACCTCCCTGGAGCTGCCAATCCCTAAGCCTTGTCAGCATTTCATGGTATAAACGATGTGGGTTCTCTGCATATCCCCCTTCCGGCTTGGGAGTCAGCTCCCTGGGACTTGCTAAGTCAGTTCCCAGTCAATCGTAATGCTTTACAGCACACAAAATGTTGTTGCTTGTCTTCTTTCCTGTTTTTCTTGTCTTGATGGGTTTATGTCTGTTAAGAAAAGAAAAGCTCTTTATTGTAGTGGATTTGGGAAGGGAACGAAATCAGACACGTTTGTTCAGTCTGTCTTCTTTACCTGGATGTCCTCCATCCCTTTAATTTCAGCCGTGCTGTGTCATCATGTTTTAGACCTGTCTCTTAGAAAGAGCACACAGCAGGATTTCACGTTTATCCACCTGAGACTCTCTATATTATAAAAAGTTGACTTTATTCCATTTACATCTCTTATAATTATAGATATATGTGCATTAATTGCTATTACCTTTATTTTCTGTTTTCCATGTATCCTGCTTTTCTTTGCTTTTTTCTCTTTTAGTCCCTTCTATGGGTTTTTTCTATTTTATTTATTTCCCTTTCCATCCTTTTATTGGTTTTGAAGTTATAAATTCTATTTCCATTCTTTCTGTAGTTACTCTTACTTGTCTTACATGCAAACTTCCCTTTAAGTTTAAATGTAATATCTTTATCCTCCTTTCAAACAATATAAGAGCTTGAAACACCAATTCTGTTTGCAATGCTTCATGTGATTATTTTCTAGTATTTTAGTTTCACTTTGCTTTAATGCCCCCCAAATTAATCACTGTTATATTGCTATTTTTTAATTCAATATTTATTTATATTTCCTTACACTGAAGAGTAGCAGAATTTGCCACCCCAAAATATGCCACTTTGGCACAAGGATGATTTTGAGCTGAAGGGAACCTAGAAGAAGATATAAAAAAGCTCTCTGCCCTCCCCCTGTTTACCTAAAAGCAGGACACAAATTTGTAAAGTTGTCCCCCCTTCCCCTCTCTACTAGGAAGGAGAGAAGTTAATCACCAGAGCAAACTGTAGACCCCTATCAGCCCAGAAAAGGCACCAAAGGAACCTACATTACAAACCTTAATAAGTAGTCCTTATCTTCCATTAGTTCCCTCATATATTTGCTTTCCCACAATTTGTCACCCTAGACAATCAAATTTCTTCTCCTTTGTCTTGTCACTTCTCTAAAAACTGTTGTTTTGTGAAAAACGTGATATAAGCCCAACTTTTTCCACCCCTTCGAGTGACTCATCACTGAGTTCTCCCATGTGTACGCAATGCACGTGTTAATAAAATGTGTATGCTTTTCTCTTGTTAATCTGTCTTTTGTCAATTTAATGTTCAGGGCCCCAATAAGAAACCCAAGAAGAGTAGAGGGAAAAATAAGTTTTTTTCATCCCCTACACCAGATTTACTAATTTTGTATGCTGTCTTGCTAATTGCATTGCATTCCTTTCTTCTGGACATAATCTATTTCACATAACCTCGACTAGTTCTCTCAGTGAGAAAGCGCAAGCAGTAACTTCTCCAAATCTTTGCCTGAAAATATCTTCATTTCCGCCTTATTCTTGAACAGTGATTTAGTTTATCGTAGAATCTAGGTTTCTCATATTTTTTCTCAATGCTTGAAGATATTCCTCCATTATTTCCTGACATTTACTTTGGCTAATGAATAGTCTGTTTACAGTCTAACTGTTCTTTTATGTATAATTATCTTTTTCTCTGATTGACTTTAAAGTCTCTCTTTTTTGTTAATAATCTGTAGTTTTACTATAATATGTCCAGGGATGGATGTCCTTTTGTTGATCTCAATCAGGACTTTCTCTGCTTCTTAAATCTAAAGACTTATGTTTTTCTTCAAACCTAGAAAAGAAACATTCAACCATAAACTTTCCCTTCTCTCTCTTTTCTTCTTCAGGAACTACCGCTAGACATAACACGGCAGCTTTGCATTCTGTCACCCACGCCTCTCCACCTAGTGACGCTTCTCTCCCGCACTTCCTTCTGTTCATTCTAGGTGGCAACTTCAGATCTGTTTCAAGTCCACCAATTCTCTATTTATGTGCAATTTCCAGTTTATCTCAATTAAGTTTTTAAATTATAGTAAGTATGATTTGAAACTTAAAAAGTTCCATCTGGTTTTTGATTCTGCCTATTTTTATCACATTGTTTGATTCTTTGGGTCAAGGAATTTTTGACTTAATTATATTTTTAAATTTCTTCTTAAATATAATTTTTTATAGTTTCTTTCATATTGTCCTATTATTTTTAGTTCTTAGGGTACTGATTCTCCTACTGATTGTGCCTGCTGAGTCTCTCTCATGATGATTCTATTTTTAGCTTGTTTTTATTGTGAGCTCAAAATCAGCAAGGGCTGTTCTTCTGGGAATCCTATAAGTTCTGACATCTGACATGGAGAGGTTTTATATTTGCTTCTGCTGGAGCCGTAGGGATTTCAATTGTCCTGCAACAGTTTCATGCTAATTTCTCCACTTGGGAGTCGCCTCGCTGCAAAAATAGTATGACTTCAGGGCCTGGCGTTCTGATTTCTCACGTAAACTTTTCTTCTACTCCACCCAGCCCCCAGCCAGACTACAGGTGTCCTACTGCTCCCCTGAGGAGCTCCAGTCCCCTTTTCACGGATGGGGACTTACCTAGAGTTGGCCCAAACCCATGCATGGTATCACCTTACCCAAGAAGTGTGTCATCTCCAAGGATAGCTGACCCTTCCATCAAACACTGAGCCAGTGTTGTCAAAGGCAATTTTTTCTGAAAAGGAAAAAAAACGTTGTCATGAAAACAACCTCCAACGTCACCCAGCTACTCTCAAATAGCAAAAAGTCAAATACTTGCCTAGACACTATATTAGCTAAGAAACAAACTGATTTTAAAATGTTTAAAACCTAAAAATGCATAGGATACCATGATGGGTTAGAATCAGAGATGTCAAAAATCAGAAAATTAAAACAAATTAAAATTGCCAATTTGGAAAATAAGCCTAAGGTTTACATGCTGTATTTTAAAATAAGGTGGGATGGCAGCAAGAAAAAAAGAGAAAATTTCAAAATTACATTAACAAAGATCTGAGCAATGCTTTAATTTCCAAAAATCTCCTGCAAAGTGTATTAGCCCTATTTTATGAACAAGGCAGCTTATGGTCAAGAAAGAAAAAGTGTTCACATACAATTACAATGCAAACAAACTAAGCATCAAAATAAAGACATACTCCAAGAAAGACATAAAATGGCCAAAAAGCACATGAAAAGATGCTTAACATCATTAGTCATTAGGGAAATCCAAATCAAAGCCACAATGATACCACCTCACATCCACTGGGCTGGCTAAATAATATTAATATATTTAAAAAACACACACAGAGAGAGAAAATAAGTATTGCTGAGCATGTATAAAAATTGGAACCTCATGATTTTCTGGTGGAAATGTAAAATGGTGCAGCACTGTGAAAAACTTTAGCAGTATTTCAGTAAGTTAAATAAAATTACCATATGGCCCAGCAATTCCATGTTTGGCTATATACTCAAAATAACTGAAAAGAGGTGGTCAAATATAAACATGCACATGAATGTGAAAAGCACATTCACAATATTCACAATAGCCAAGAGGTGCAAACAGCTCAAATGTCTATCAGTGGATGAGTGGATAAACACAATGTGGTATATCCATACAATGGAATACTACACAGCCATAAAAATGGTCCTGATATGTGACAGAATGTGGATAAACCTTGAAAACATCATGCTAAGTGAAATAAGCCAGGGCATATATTGTATGATTCTATTTATATGAAATGCCCAGAATAAACAAATCCATGAAGACAGAAAGTAAATTACAGGTTGCCAGGGGCTAGGGGGAGGGGGAATGGGGAATGATTGCTTAATGAGTATGGGGTTTCCTTTGGGATGGTGAAAATGTTCTGGAACTAGATAGTGGTGGTAGTTACACAATATTGTGACTGTACTAAATGTCACTGAACCGTAACTTTAAAATAGTTAGAATGGTTAGCTTTATGTTATATGGGAAGGGGGGGAGGGAGAGAAGAAGGGAGGGAGAGAAAAGAGGAAGGGAGGAAGGCAGGGAGGAACTTGGGAAGGCCGGAGCACGATCAGGGGTGTTGCTTGATCCACTTTCCCTCCTTACCAGGTATCGACAAGCCGCTCCTTACTGAGCCTAAACCATCCGGCACACACTGAAAACAAGGTAAGAACTGCCAGCATATCCCCAGGTCTTCTAGTCCTCACTGCTACACAGATAGTTCTTCAAACGGAAAGTGACTGAACCACACCTGGCTCACAGCCTCCTGCCGTAGGACACAGAGAGCTCCGGCTGTAATTCATTTACTAACCCAGTATTTGTGAAGTGCCCACTCAGGCACCACACCAGTGGCGAACGAGACTAGACACTCCCACGGAACTTACATTCTAATGCAGGGAGAAAAATAATAAGCACGGGAACTATGAGGAGATCATTTCAAATGGTTGGAAGTGCTGTGGACAACCGAAAGCAGGAAAATTGGTAGAGAGGGCAGCTGTGGGGTGTGGAGCTGTGATGAGGAAAGACTTCTCAGAGGGGTGACATTTAAGGTGCAACCTGAAGGAAGAGTCAGCCAGGCCTCAAGAAGATTTGGGAGAGAACATTCCAGGCAGAGGGAATTGCAAGTGCAAAGGCCCAGAGGTGGGAACTAATATGGCCAGTTCAAGGTCCCCAAGATGGGCAACATGGCTGGAGCCCAGTGAGTGACAGGAAGAGTGGCAGGAGAAGAGGGCAAAGGTGAGATGGGGCAGGGCCTTGTCAGCCAGATGCAGGCACTGGGGTTTCATTCTAAGGGCATCTCAGGACCATTGGAGGGCTTGTTTAAAAAGAGCATGATCGGATTAAAATAACTCAATCCTGAAACAGACAAAAGATGACTTGAGAGAGGGATCAAGGTGGAGACAGATTTTTAGGGCACCATCTATTAGAACTTAGGAATCTGCTTTGAACATTCCCGCAGAAGAGCTGCATGCCCTCAGATCTCTCCAGGGAAGAACATGGAGGTAGGTCACCCCTCAAGAGTGATATGGAAGCTCATGGGGTTCCCAAGAGAAACCAGGTGGGGAGAGCCCAGGACCTGTGTGGATAAAGCCTTCAACACATCTCTGCTACATCCCCCTCCACAGAAGTCAGATGCCTTCCACTCAAGGGATAAACTCGGGGCCGGCCCCATGGCCGAGTGGTTAAGTTCGCGTGCTCTGCTTCGGCAGCCCAGGGTTTCGCTGGTTCGGATCTTCGGTGGGGACATGGCACAACTCGTCGGGCCACATTGAGGCAGCATCCCAAATGCCACAACTAGAAGGACCCACAACTAAAATATACAACTATGTACTGGGGAGATTTGGGGAGCAAAAAAAAAAAAAGGATTAACTTATTACCCCATCATTTCAAATAAAATGGGACATTCTTCTTGGTAAAAACTAGATCAGGCAAGTCAGTGTTAATACCTCCAAATTTAAATACCACTTTCTTGTTGTCCCACAAAGCTATTAGGTAAAAGTTTCCAGAGACTTAATTAAAAGCACAGGAAACAGTATCTAGGAGAGCATCTGCTCCCACCTCACCTTTTTAAAAAAGTTATTTAAAGCACACTTTTAGAAAAATGTCTAAAGTGGTTAAAAAAGAAAAGAAAAGAGAAAGAGTTGAGCAGGTATAGTATTTTTGGTATACTCACAAAGAGAGCATGGCTTAAGGTATTAGTCCATAATCAGGGGCGATTTTGTCCCCCCAGGGGCATTTGGCAATATCTGGAGACAGTTTTGGTTGTCACATGCGGTGAACACTACTCGTATCTAGTGGGAAGAGGCGAGGGATGCTGCTAAACATGCTAAAATGCACAGGACACTCCCTCGCAATAATGAATTAGCCAGCCCACACTATCATGAGTGCCAAGGCTGACAAACTCCACGGCTTAAGGAATGGTCTTCAATCTGCAAATTCCTAAAATATCCCAGGAACCAACCAGTGAAGATGCTCTGCCCCAATGTCAGGTAGCACAATTCTAGTATTGGTCAGCAAACACACAAAAATACCCATTTTGTTTTGTGCTGAGCATCATGATCCACCTTTAGGGCAGGAATGCTGCTTTTCTGTGTCCTTCGTCAAAATTTGACATGGAAGCAAGGTCAGAGAGGATCTTGCCTGTAGCAGACTAAAAGGGACTTCCAACGGCCTGGGAGTCGACATCCTTTGAAGAAATTTATCTAGCAGTAGGTGAGTGGTGCTTTTCCAAATATGGAAGATTAGTTCAATTACTTCTGTCAGTGAGTCAAGAAGAAAACTGTCTGTGGGTGACTGAAGGAGTGAAGGTCAAGATCAACAGAACAAGAAAAGCAACTCGGGGCTACAAGGCTGTTCAGAATCTATGGCGGGAGGATGGTGAGGAGACAGCCAAGCGTCTGTTCTCCAAAATTCACTCTGGAAAAACCAGTTTGAATCAGTATGACTGGAGGGGCCCTCCTCCTGAGCCAGGGAGGCAACATTATTTTCCAGTTGTTTCTAGTCACTCAACACCCTCAGTAATGACTCTGAGAAGCTCTTAGGTGGCAAAGAGGGTAGCATTAAGAGACAAAGTACCACAAAATTCAAGTTATTCCTGGTTCAATTGCCTTTTAATTCTTAGGACTTTAACATGGAGAATAACCTTTCTCTACCACGTCTGTCTGTCTACAGCAAAATGAATGAACTAATTTTGAGCAGGAATTATACGCATGTGGTACCAAACTCAAAAGGTGCTAGAGGGTTTACGTCAAAAAGTCTCCTTCCCGTCCTTAACTCTGAGCCACGTAGTGGTCACAGTCTCATCAGAGACCAGGACAGTAGCCAGTTTTTTGTGCATCCTTCCAAAAATATTCTAGGCAGACCCAGCTATGTACGTGTGTCCATTTTTAGTGGCTACACCTGTCCCCGCAAATGTTAGCACTATATATACACCCCACTCTATGCCTTCCTTTCCTGTTCGTGTAGAGAGGGATCTTCCATGTCATTTCCTATTGTGACATACAGAGCTGCCTCATTCTTTTTTTAAATAGCTACATAGATCATTGAATGAGGATGACAAAATGTATTTAAAAAGTCCTCTAATGAGGGTGCAACTGTCACAAGCCAGGGCCTGTGCTTGTGGCACGAGTGACTCTCATGAGGAAGAATTCACTCGAGGAGAGATGAGAACATGAGTGTCTGGATTCCAAGGGCGGGAGTGGGGGGTTAACTGAGTAAAACCTCTGTGGAAATCAACGATGAGTTTTTGTCTCGATGCTTTAAGAATCAAGAAATCAGACAGAAGCCACCAAACAAAAAGGGGAAGGAAGAAATGGGCTAAGGTGTATATCTTCATGTCAAAACGGGAATAGTGACCATCTGTAATCAAAGGCGGCAGAAAGTAAGCAGTCAGTGGCCTGTAACTCACAACAAACTGCACATTATTTCTATTTCTAAAGAAATTCTCTGAGACAAAGGAAAAATGGAGGGCTCCACAGATGTGGGCCTGTGACGCCTGCTCAGATGCGGGGCTATGACGTACTGCTCGCATGTGACGGAGGTGTCCTCTGCTGTCTGCCCACACTCTGTTCACCCCACTTCACCTACAAGGCTGTTGAGTCTTGGAAGGATGATGCCCACAGCTCTGGAAGAGTT